GATAAAATTATCAAGTTTGTTATATCAAGATAAGGAATGCGAGAATGGTCATCTAGGCGTGTAAACGAACTGAACGTTCAACAAATTGTTATATGGGAAGTTTGTTTATAAAAAAGATTTATGTTCATTTAAATAAATAAATAAATAATATGAACAAATGGTTCGTTTGTTCATTTACATCTGTGAACTTTCTGTAATCCATTCATTTATGTTTGTTTATGTTCGTCCGTTTAGAACGATTAATATTCAGTCCAATCTTTAGACTCGTTTGAAATATTAATAATAAATAAATTTTAACCTTAAACCTATTAATATTTTAAAATCCAATTAATTTTAAACCCAAATAAAAATACTCAAATCAATTAAAGAAAATATAAATTCTAAAATTATTTGGAAAGAAAAAAAACGCTTCTAAAATATAAATCCAGTTAATTTTATGTTGGTTCGTTTGTGTTCATTTACATTCGTTTGTTTGTGTTCGTTTATCATTTAACGAACGAACATGAACAAACACAAGAAAACTAAACTTCTTAATGAACGAACACAAATAAAAAAAATCATTCACTAAGTTATTCATACTCGTTTATTTATTATATTAAACAAACGAACATAAAGGTTAGTATTATGTTCATGTTCGATATGTTCATTCAAGGGTTTGTTTATTAGATTCTTTTTGTTACGATCACTCAATCAATAAAGTACTTACATTTCCGAGGAATGTATTAGACATAAAAAGTATTTTTAAAAAAAGGTTAAAATTTATTGGGTAAAGTACATAAAGTGTCCCCAAACTATGAGAAGCTACTTTATTAAGTCGCTCGACGATTAAAATTATAAAATAGTCCATTAAGTATAGGGATACGTTGTTTGATTTTGAAATTAGTATAGATATAAAAAGTAATTAAACAAAAGAGAAGGTTAAAATTTAATTTAACTAATCAGAAAACTATAGGGACCTAAAAGATAATTAAATCAAAAAATTAAGACAATGCATAATTTGATTATTTCCAAAATTGATAGAGACCTAAAATAAATCAGAAAAACTAAATGGTCGAGACATATTGTGACTAATCTCAAAACTAATGGGGACATTAAAATTAATGGTAAAGTACAACTTAGTCATTAAACTTTAAGTTTTTTATTGACTTTAGTACTGAACTTTACAACGATTTAATATAAGTATTGAACTTTGATTTTGGGTTCAATTAAAATATTGTGCCGTTAAATTTAAAATAAGATGGTGGCTTGACAGTTTCGGTGTTGATGTAGAAACTAAAAAAAATTATTCCATCCCACCATCTTCATCAAAGTTAGAGGTTTTACACTCATTTTCGGCCATCATTGAAAATTGACATTATCTAACGTCTTTTACGGTCATCCTAGATATCAATGAACTCACCCAATCATCTTTTATCAATTTATCTGTTTAGATTTTCTCAAAATTTCTTTAAAACTCATGAAATTAAATAAAAATATATAATTTTTCAGAGTTTGAGGTGCTTGTTTGAAATTAAAACTCGTGAAATTAAACAAAAAAAACTTCTTCCAACTACTATTAGAGTTTAGTTTTTGTCTGAAAATTTGAATGGTGCATAGCATTCTTTCACGAAGAACAATATATCTTGAAACCAATCTTATCAAATAGTCATCATGTGAGATCAAGGTATTAGAACATCGAATCATTAGATGAATTTTATCAGTTTTAAGTGAGTTTCATGAAAATATAATTCAAATAAAAGAAAGATGAGTGAGATATGGATGTTTTGATATTGATGTTACCACGAATGACAACTAATGATGAGAGATGGCACACACACACTCCTTACGGCGTATAAAAAGCATACTGATAAAATATTTCAGTAAAAATTAGTTTATCAAACATGTTTTAAAAATATGACCAGTACCCCCATCCGATCACCAATGTGTAGGCTCCCCAAAACCATACACCCACCTGTACACCCGATAAGGGCCTTATACATATAGAATAATGACCTACAATAAGGTCTTACAAGTCATAGACTAAGCCGGATATACTTCCTCTAGTAATACCCCAATGATAATAATAAACATATATGTATTCAAGTGAAAACGGTAGTTTAATCCATTAAAACATGAAAATGTTCCATACTCAGAAATCAGATACATAAATAAAGTATCCAGAGATCATATTAGAAATAAACGGTAAATCGGATATCAGATAAACAATATTCAGGAAATCAAGTATCAAATCGTAAAAATATCCAGTGTCATCAGAAATCTAAAACAATTCAGATAAATAGTTTAAAACAGTAATGTAACACCATCAGGAAACACACCTATATCAATATGAGTAGTCTGATAGAAAAGCCTACTACTGAGTCTGCCGATCACGACAAAACATCGATTAAATATTTTTACTAAAAGAGGAAAAACTTGAAGAGAGAGATAATGAGGTTTCCTAAAAAAGTAAACTTTTCAGATTTTGGGTTATATAATCCTAAAAATGAAAATGGTAAAATTATGTCATAAGTCATCTAGTTTTTTATACTTTCTGAATTTGGATCTAAATTTAATCAAAATTTTACTTTGGTCCTCAAATTTAGTTAATATTTCAATTTAGTCCTTAGAAAAATTTTAAAAAAAATTTAGGCCCTAAGTTAGGGTGTAACATTCCCAATTAAACTCGAAACCAAAATTCAACGCTAAAGTTCTATAAAAAAACCTAAAACTTAATAACTAATGGTGTAACTTACCCCAAGGTTATCACTTAATAACCAAATGGTACTAAAATTACAAAGAGAAATGTCATATAAACACCCTTGGGATGTCCTAAGATGTAATGTCGACTTATATTTACTATGCTCGCGTTAGGTTGTCCTAAAATATAAGTGGTTTGTCTTTTATCCTTAATCGTACTCCAGAAATAAATGCTAACAGGGAGGGAAACTTCTTAGAGTCCTTTATTTTTGGGGCATTGGTAAGTAGAAAGGGTCACCTACCCTAATCTTTGAAAATGTAACAAGCCCTGGCCCATGCAATATGTTCATTGGTGGCCACCATGCTACGACATTAATGTCATGTCTACTTAAAAGTACATTCGTTTCTCAAACAGATAGGCCTATGCTAGATTCACTTCACTTCACAAACGCAATATTTTATATTAAATATAAATTTATAAAATTTTGTGAGATAAAAATAAATTATTAATAAAAAATATTTAAATTATATAAAAATATAAAATTTTTATGAGGCGATCGGCTCGTCGGTCCTCTTCGATCCATTGCTAATTGTATTGTTGTTATATCATCTCCTGCACTAAATGGACTTCAATAAACTGTAACAATCTTTCTCGAAAAGTATACGAGTAATCAGTGACACACTTGAATAAAGAACCGAGAGTTCTTCAATAAAGAGAAATTAATTTCTTCTCTAAATCTTCTTCCCCAAATTCTACACGGTACGATATTAGGTTTAATACATAAGCCTTCTTCTTCTCTTGATGTTGACACCATCAATTGGTTCCACAAACGCTTACGAAACAGCAAGCAAAAACAAGGCATCCCGTGATGTGATCACTATCGAAATGTGGGCATGGGAATATTGCAGGGGTGCATCATGTTTTTCGTATGTAGCACGAAGCAAACAACCTTAATGATTAGGGGATTCCTTATTATCCTTTAAGGTCTCAGATTTGAATATCGCGTATGTAGGGATATGAACGTTTACTATCAAATGATTGAGAATCTTTGAACATAAACTATCTTGTATTCACTCGGATTTATATATATAAGAGGCTATCCCACCTGTAAGCAAATTGGAAGGGAAATACTCACGTGCGACAGCCTTAATATACGGCTAAAAAAACGCTACCGGTTTTCTTATTATTTTAAATAATAAAACCAGTAAGAAATGTCCGAAAACATTATTATTTCTATCGGTTTTGTTATTATTAAATTAATATATTTTATCAAATTTGTCTTAATTTGAAATAATTTAATAAGTTCTATTATTCTTATTTAAAATTTGTCCATAAATTTTTTTATTTAAAATTAATATATTTAGTTCAAGCGAACTACTATAGAATACTTATGTAATTTAAATTCATACTTTTAATAACGACATTATTTTTTTACTTTAGTGTTTTAACTTTTCATTTTATTCAGTTTGATCCTTCAACTATAAGTTTTTGTAAAGTATTTCTTCTAATCAATTTTTTTTACTCTTTCATACTCTCATCAATACTTTAATCTTCAAATTTTTCTTTAAAAATAAATCCTTTATAAATATGTTTTATAATTTTAGATGGTATTTGATTTATTAAATAACAATATATCTTACTTATACTGTGAAAAAGAATATAAAAAACCATATATGTATATCTTATATGATTAGAGAAAGTCATAAAATGTATAACCAATAAGTATTATAATATTATAAATAATTATAATTAAATTTGAAGAGAAACTCGAACATCTCAACTCGAAAAAAATTAAATAAAATATTGTTCATCGACTCGACTAACTCAAAAATTTTTTACTCGACTTGATCAAATACTAATTTCTGTTTATTGTTTAGGACTACATTTTATAAATAGATATTAGCGTAAACTAAACATTTAGTACCTGAACTATTACTTTTATTCTATTTCAGTACCCAAACTTTATTTTGTTTCAAATCATACCTAGCGTTTAGTTTATGTTTCATTTTAGTATTCCGCCTATCAAAACTTGACGGTTATGATGACGTGTCATAGTAAGGTAATGCCACATCGTCGTTGAAAATTTTATAAAAAAAATGTCAAGTCAATATTTCTATTATTTTTTTTAACAGTGAGATATCAAAATGAAACCTAAACTAAATGTTAGGCATGGTTTTGAAATAAAATAAAGTTTAGGTAGTAAAACAGAATAAAAGTAGTAGTTTAGATACTAAACTTATAGTTTACCTAGATATTAAATATGGCGTCTCATTATATAGTGACCATGTCTCTCTGCTGTGCCAAGAAAAAAAAAACAAGTGTGTTTAGAACACAATGATGTTCATCAAGATATACAAATTTTTCCTGCATTATGTGTTAAAGCTAGCTGGGATAAGCCCTCAAAAGATAGAGATCCAGCCGGGGACGATTATCAACTTCTGGTCCCCGACAGCCATTAAAAGCCGAAAGCCGGCCGTCGTCTTCCTCCATGGCTTCGCCCTCGACGGTATCCTAACATGGCATTTTCAGGCATTAGCCTTAGCCAAAGACTACTCCGTTTACGTCCCGGATTTCGTCTTCTTCGGCGACTCCGTCACCGACACTACCGAGCGGTCGGCGGAGTTTCAAGCCGATTGCGTAGCCAAAGGGTTGAAGAAGCTGGGCGTGGAAAAATGTATCTTGGTTGGTTTAAGTTATGGAGGAATGGTTGGTTTTAAGATGGCTGAGGCTTATCCTGGATTGGTTGAGTCAATGGTGGTGAGTTGCTCGGTTATTGCCTTGACTGAGTCAATCAGCAAAGCCCGACTCAGTCATATAGGGTTCAAAAGCTGGGGCGATTACTTGCTTCCTGACTCGGTCAAGGGTGTTGAAACCCTCCTTCGAGTTGCCTCAGTGAGTTTGCCAAAGTTGCCGAATTGGTTCTACAAAGAAATTTTGGAGGTAATTAATTTTTAATAATTAATTTAAAGGAAAAATTAATTAATAGTTATTCTTCTTTTAAAAAAAAATTATTTCAAAAATTATGCAGGGAATATCTATTTACAGAGAGGAGAAATTGGAACTTCTAGTGGCTTTGATCATCAATGACAAGGAATTTACCCTCCCTAGTTACCACCAGGTTATAATTCTTTTCAACAATATTTGTATAATTAAAAATAAATAAATTTATTATTTAATAAAAAATTATATTAAATAATTTAGGATAAAGAACATAAATATTATCTCGATTATTAAAAGTTATAAAATGGTCCCCTGACTACAAGACATTATTTTTCTGAGTCTCTCGACTATTAAAGGTTATAAAATGATCACTCAACTATTCATATACACTCGTCCTTTTTCGTTAAAAAATTAATAGTCATATGAGCTGGACATTAATACGCTGACTGAGATATGATACTCTTTTGAGATTCTAGAATCAAATTTTATCATATCCTAGTTAAGAGATTAACATCCAACTTAGACTACAATAATTTTTTTTTTTAAAAATGATGATTTTGAAACATATAAATAGTCGTGTGACTATTTTTTGAACTTTTAATATTTTGGGAACTCAACAAATCAATGTCTTATGGTTGAGAGATCATTTTGAAACTTTTAATAGTTAAGAGACTCAACAAATCATTGTCTTGCAGTCAATGGACCATTTATATACTTTACCCAATAGTTTAATTGTTTTTTAACAATATAATTGTTTAAAAGTCACCTATATTGATGATTTATAATGAGTTTTTCATTATGATTTAATTAGAATTTTTTATAAATCATTTTATATATAATTTTACTTTTTATAATTGGCGAATGAAAAATAATTCAAATCTTATATAAATGAATGTTGATGTCACTTAATTACTATAACAGTCGGACTATCGGCATATTTTGACATATTTGTATATTTTTATTATACTTTATATAATTTATTTTAATATATATATATATATATATATAAGGCAAAAACATCAAATGTTGTTTTACTTTTTAAAAAAATCAATACGTTCATCATATTATTTTTTTCTCTTAATATGATTTTTTAACTCAAAAAATAAACCTAATGTAATCATTTAACAAACGATTTTCGTCGTTGATCGTTATAGTGCTGACGTGATAGTTCAGGGTGTTGATATGGCAACCAATGGAGCTGACTTGACAATCACGGTGATTGATAACGTGACAATTAACATGATAGATGGACTAAATTAGTAACTCAATCATGACACATGAGAGGTCATATCAGAACCGTAACGACCAACGACGACGGAAAATAATTTATCATAAACTTATAGCAATTTATTACTGCAGAAGATACATCTTTTGTGGGGAAAGAATGATCAGATATTTGACTCGCATATTGCTCGCTCCGTTAAACAGTAAGTATACAATTATTTTTACTTTTTTTCTTTTATTATCGTATCAATTCATTAAAAATAAACTATTATTCATTAAATATATAATTTTTAGAGTTAATTGTGTCATATATCCCTAAACTATAACTCTCATTTCAAACTAGTCCTGAAATTTTTTAATATTCCAAGCACATCCTCAAACTACGATTCTCATTCTAAACTAGTCCTTAACTTTTAAACATTCTAATTCCACCCTGAAATTATGACCCTCTTTCTAGATTGGTCCCCAACTTTTGAATATTCCAAATTTATCCCCAAATTCATCCAAATATATAATTAGTTTAAACCATAATTTAACCTAAATTTTGTTTTTTTCAAACATATAATAATATAACTTGGCCTAACGATTTTTTTAATAAGGGACGTGATTAGTATATACAAATAGTTTGGGATGAAATTATAATATTCAAAAAGTTTGGAGATCAATTTAGAATAAAGGTCATAGTTTGGGGATGAAATTGAAATGTTTAAAACATTGAAGATTAATTAAAAATGGTAGTCGTAGTTTAAGAATGAAATTAGAATATTTAAAAGTTTAGAGACTTAATGCAACAAAACATCTCTAACGTTTAATAATAGTGTTAATTTGATCTCTATTCCGTTTTAGAGACGATCGTAGTTTAAGGATGTGCTACTGGTTTTGTTATGTAATGAAGTAATTGGAGAGTGCAACATGTCACCTTATAAGTGGTTATAAATAATTTATTATAAATATTATTAATAATATTTTTACTTTTAACTTTTTAGAAAAACATGATGTGGTACTGTCGCGTTGTCATTCACTATGATTTGGACACATAACGTAAGCACCTCTCTACGCATGTTCTTCCTATGTTAATTCTAGACGTTGATTGTTAGTTGATTAAGGGTTTTCAACTAATGAAAGGATATTTTGACCCAAAATAAAACGTGGGGGATAATATATTAAAATGAGGATCATAGTTTAAGGACATATAATGTAATTAATTCTAATTTTTAATAAAAAAAAATATTTCAACATAAGAGTATGATAAAATAAATTATGGATTATAGATATTATAATTCGAATTTAATATATATTTCCTATTTCAACATAAAAGTATGATTATTTGTGACAGGCAAATTGGAGAGAGAGCAAGTCTAGAATACATAGAAAAAGCAGGTCATCTGGTTCTGCAGGAACGCCCATTCACCTACAACAGCCGCCTCAAGAAAATTCTGGTTTCTTTATCATCTTGTTCACAATGATTTTAAAAGGGTTCAACACTCTGAACGAATCAGATTTGAACGAATAAATTTATATTTAGTTATGTTTATTAAAAGATTTAAACCTTTGTGTATGTTTGTTCGTTAAATATTCGCGAACATGATATGTTTTCAAACACTAAATATCATTTAGCGATTATATTCATGAATATTGAACATGTTTGCTATAATTAGAAAAACCATGAATAATAAAACAAACAAAGTCAATAAATATATTTTTAGGTAAATTACACATTTAATACTTAAATTATCAGTTTTAGTCGCTTCAGTACCTAAACTTTTAATTCTTTTAAAACTATACCTAACGTTTAGTTTTTATTTCATTTTAGTACCTCGCTATTAAAAACTTAATGCGTTTAGTACCTAAACTATTAATTTTGGTCCGTTTTAGTACCTAGACTTTTAAAAAAAAATTCAAAACTTGACATTAAGTTTTGAACGGGGTACTAAAATAAAACAAAAGCTAAACTTTAGGTATGATTTTGAATTTTTTTGAAGTTTAGGTACTAAAACAGATCAAAACTGATAGTTTAGGTACTAAGAGCATAATTTACTCTGTTTGTTTCGAGATTATTGCTTTTAATGTATCAAATGATATTAATTATGAGTAATATATTTCTCTGGACACTCTTTTCTATAAATATATAATAAACACAAATATTTCAATTATATTTTTCTAGGAAAAATAAAAAAATAAATAAATAATGAATTAATAGATGACTCATAAACGAACTTATAAATGACCTTATATGTGTAAGCTAGAAATAATCATTGGTTGAGAAGAAAAATTTACAAAATTCCGAAAGCTATATAAACATCCAACAGGACTATGAATCGAGAATTTGTGTGGATCTGAATACATAAATGCCTTACCTAATACAATACGAGATAGCATCCAATTAATCCGTTTGCAGGACTCCGGTGGCTTTCATCAGCATGTCCGGAAAGCGGATGCTATCTATAGAATTTATGATGCCTTGGACGAAGATCGGTAACAGAAAGGAAGTACGCGGAAGAACCGACAGCCTTGCGTATGTGATCCTCCTCCTACGCTGACCAACCAGAAGCAGGGATACCCTGCTTTTCAAACCATTCGGGCATGCGGAACCTGTCGTAAAGAAACGGTCTCACGTCTTTCTGCAGAGAAAGGTTCTTGAGAAGCGGAAGGAGGACATCCAGAAGCTTTTCAACATAAAAAAAACAAGACGTAAACATCGGAATGAACAGACACACTATAACAAATCTATATTCAACGAGGATAACAAGTTTAAGATGATGCGAATCCCGCTACCTGTGTATCATTCGGCTGCCCTGCAGAAAATGGAATGCATGGAATCCCATTTAAGGGTTGCAACAAGAAACTGAAAGGATTGTTGTCTACAATAACAGTTCGGCATAAGTCCTTCGATAGGCACGAGAGGTCTTTCACATGCTCCCGATACTCACTGTTGTGTTAGAATGTAAACAGCAAATAAATCACCAAGAAGTTGATTTCTTACACATACAACACAGAGGAGGCACAAGTTTGCCCTAAAACATCTAAAGCCTCTCACAAACCGAGTTGCGAGTTTTCGGGAGCTAAAACTAATCCTAGTGCGTTCCATACATACAAATGTTACCTTAAGCAGGCAATGAGATACAAAGAACAAGTATAATTTCCTAGCGAAGTACGAAAGGATTTCATCATTTTCCACCAACAAATCCGAGAGTATGCAAGCCGGAATATTATAGAAGCATAGAGAGGAAGCAGCACTTACGTGCAAATTGTAGAGGGCCTGTAAAGTCGAAGACTAAATCGATTTTCTTTATCAATTCTGTCAACAAGCGGTCTAGCATAGCCTGTGGGCAGCCATTAATAAAATTCATGAAAAAATGAATGAAGTGATTTGATAAAAACAAAACAATGTCTAAAAGTTGAGCAAACCTTCAAGGCCAGCAGTAAACAGCACAAGTTCAGCAAATTCACTTAATTGATTCAAGAATTCCTGCAACCCCGGACGCTCGAACACGGTAACATAACTGATCTTAGGTTTCCCTTCGAATTCCTTCAAAGATCAAAGCACCCAAATGACAAAGCTCTTACATAAACATCACATCATTTAAAATAGAGAATTGGATTGTTCATGTGCAAACCTTGTCTGAAGATACACATTCCAGTTCAAACCACTTCAATCCAGCATCCGTTGCTTGACTACGGAGGGCAGGTGGAAGACTAGACGTCTCGTACGCGCACACGAGAGTTTCGTCCAAGTCGAGAACTACCTGCAAAAGCAATGATCAAACCTAGAACATCAACGGTACACACTATCTTTTGTTTTACAGTTTCACAAGGTTGGAACATCTTACCTTGAAAGTAACCAAACTTAGCATCTTTATTGCTTCTTAATAGAACTTTCGACATCCAAAAATTTTAGGCACAATAGAAAGTTTAATTAATTGTAAACCTACATCTGATAGGATTCCTTTTGTTACTGACTTTACATGTTGAATCCCCAATAGTGATTGATTACGAATCAAAACCTTGAATTTAAATAACTGATTTGTTCCTTTTAGCTCATGATTTTTAATTTGAAATTTTTAAAAAACCGATGAGATTGCATTTCGATTGCTTAATTTAAAGAACATAGAATCTACTACGAGTAAAAAATGAGGACAAAAAAATTCCTACCACGAGTTTTTCGATGCGGACATCGCCGGCAGGAGCAGGAGAGCCCAAAACGGCAGCGATTTCGACCGTAGCGGGGGACTCGATCTCGGTCGAGTCAACGACCGGCAAGCGCTTAAAACGGTGCGTAGAAGTCGGAGTCTCCGTTGTCGCCGACGAAGAAGAGAGCAGAGGATATTGACCGACGGCTCTGATGATCTGAGCAAAGATCTGAACGAAAAAAGCGAGCCAATTCAAAAGCGCTCTCCATACTTGCATCGACCGAGGCGTATACACATCAGCCCGAGTCAACTCAGCCATTTCGGAGAAGAAAAGCACGAACGATTCTACGCGGCGAGGAAAGGGAGGGAGGCCTATCGTGCGCAGGGAGTGCTAAAGTGCGCTCAGTTAACCGGGACCGGTTCGTTAAATACGGTTAGCACATTAAAAAATATGGAGTTTTTATCAGAGAGTTGTGGTAATGGTGGTGATTCGAGAAAGTCTAGAGAAAGTGACGCTGTTTCCCACGCGCTGAGATAGGCGAGTGATGGGCTCTTTCATTTCTCTTTTTATAGTAGTGTATATTTTGGGACAAATAATTTTGAGGACTAATTATTAATTTCATCTCTCTATTTTATAATAATTGAAAGATTACTCTCTATTATTTTAGTTTACCAAAATGATCACCGTGTTCTTTAAGAAAGGGTAAATTACACTATTTCTTACTAAATTATACTCTCTCCTATTTTACTCACTGTACTTTCAATTTTTCTAATTTACTCATTGAAATTTCGAATTGTTCTTGTTTTGATTCCTCTGAATTGTTTTATTATAATTTTCGTATGATGTGGTATTATTATTATTATTTAATATAAACTAATTTAAAATATAAAGTTTAAAATAAAAAAAGGTTGTCTGACACCACCGCTGGCCGCATCGATCGCCGTAGATGGTGGTCGTTCGATCTCAAATTTCATGAGTAGCTTCGTCTCGACATTGTGAGTCCAAATCCGACCTCCATTTTGTTAGAACTTTCTTCGAACTCCATGAATTAGATAGTGGTTGTTCGGTCCCAAATTTTCAGGTCAGATTCGGACATTATTCGGTGAAACAACTACCAGGTTCTAACTCAGGGGTTGAGACGAACCGACCCATAAAATTTAGAACCGAACGACCACCATCTACGGTGGTCGACGGTGGCCGACAATGGCGTCCTAACATCTTCTGTTTTTATTTTATATTTTTAATTATTTTATATTAAATGATAATAAAAATATTAAGTCATACGAAAATAAATAATAAAATAATTCGAAGAGATCAAAACAATAATAATTTAAAAGCTCAATGAGTAAATTAGAAAAATAAAAATATAATGAATATAATAAGAAAGAGAATATAGTTCAGTAAAGAATGATGTAGTTTACCTTAAAAAATAGAAGTTCGTCAAGTTTATTCGTACAATAGATTAACTTGAATTATTGATTTTTGTTAAATTCAATGTATAAAATGATTGTGATGGCAAATTTTTTGTTAACTCGATCCAACCTAAAAATATGCACTCTTCACTCGAACCCGATCTGATCCGACCCGAAAAGTTTATATCCGATCCAAATATATATATATCTTCCACTTGACTCTGGCCTGATTTTTTAGTGTATAAATCTGACCTGACCCAGTATAAATTAAGGATTTAATTAAAAATATTTTTTTAAGAAAATTACATTATTATCCTCGGATCATATCAGAAGTTTTTCACCCGACTTCATCCCTTAAAAAATCCGATTCTACCCGATCCGTACCCAAAATTCTTTTTAAAAAAACTGATCCAATCGAATCGGAAGCCGTCGGATGAGGGTGAAATTGTTATCCCTAAATATAGATATCTATTATTTATATCTATATTACTTATGCATATGCGAATTTTGAATTCGTAAATCTGAATATATATTTTGATTATAAAACAAAGAATACATTTACTTTTAAGGTGATTTGAACTTTGGAGATATAGGTTTGTAGAGTGAATTCAGATATTCATCAAAAGATTTAAAATTTAACTTTTTAAATTCAAATATTCGACAAAATGCAATACTCAATTGTTACTAATTCATACGTATAATTGTATTCCTAATTAGGGTTAAGGAGACAAATGGTCCCCTGATTATAGAACGCTACTCCGTCGATTCATTCGACTATTAAATGTTACAAAATAGTCTCGTGATTATAGGACGATACTTTGTCGAGTCTTCGGATTATTAAAAGTTACAAAATAGTTGTTCGACTATTCATATGTTTCAAACTCATCATTTTATATTAAAAAATTGACAGCCGTCTAAGCTAG